GTGAAGTGGGAATCACGTTGGTGCACCTTTACAGAGTACCTGCGTGTAAACTCCTTCCCACACAGCTCACACGCAAACTTGGATCCAGGTGGCCTGGGCCAGCAGATGGGTGCTGTTGATATCCTTGGCTGCCACGACCCTACACAGTCAAGGCCGCTGTTGTCACCACAGCCATCCCGGCCACCACCATGGTTGAGGGGGGCCAGGGGGATTGTGCTGCCCACGGAGCCTGTAATGAGACACCACAGGGGTTACTGCTGCACGGTCAGGCGTGCAGGCGCGGATCATCCAGTGCCTGTGTGGTGGTAGCAGAGGTAGAAGGGTTGGTCTTGCTGGCCGGCTTGCGGTGGTAGTTACTCTTGTGCACCCGAAGTGTACTCAGATTTTTGAACGAGAGGCCACAAATCTCACACTTAGCACTGCCAAGGCCTGAGTGCTGGTCCCGCATGTGAACCTTCAGATTGTACACATTACTGAATGTACGACCACACACTGAGCATTCATACCGGATCTGCCTGCGTTCACGGACCAGGGGGAAAAAGCCCAAACCTGTAATGACAAAACAACACCCTTTACTATCTACTGCTATGACAAGAGTAGCATCATGTGAGGGCATGCAAAGTAAGATGCAGGCATGTCAGGCAGCAGGCAGGTGGACTACGAAAGTCTACAGTCCCGTGACTTACTGGCAGCATGCTCTTACTCTACTGTGCCCTGACACTTGCCACCAACCTTTTAGAAAAGCATTATTAAACTTGTCGGACCCCAGCTGTTGAAGGTTTCATTATGCCCATACAATCCTACTTCACTTTATAGCCAAACAAGAAGCCATACAAGACAATAAAGCTCAAACTACAAATAATGACATTTCTCACACAGTATCACTGCCTTACAAGAGAGAGGGACCAGCTCTAGCACAAGGCATTGACAATGAGGCCGGCTTTAACTTTCACCCGTATACCAAGCTCAGAAGACCTCTTGTTTACCCTTCCTGTAGACTTCTAAGCCACTTATGGACTCATCACCAACAACCATATACATACATCATATTCACCCTACATCCAAATTCACAAGGCCTTGGTGTTCACACATTCTTATCACTGTGCCAAGACCCATTTCAAAAAATACACAGGGAGTATCATACAAAAATAAAAAATTAAATCTTTTAGCAGTTGAGATAATTTGAGGATACGAGCTTGCGATTTCCTCATCAAGCGCAAATAAACAATTTGTGTTCCATCCTAAAAGCACCATTTCATGCATACATCTAACTCTCACTGTCAGCTTAATAAGCACTTAGTGGACACGGTTTGCAAGCATGGCACTGGCCAATCCTACTGCATCCTGAGTGAGGTGCTGTCAGTTGACTTTGTTGCGGTGGTGCCTTTGTATGTGCATCCTCAGGCCCGACCGGGTTCTTGACACTTTATCGCACATGGCACAAGGGAAGGGCCCATAGTTGAGATGTGCGTCTTTAAAGTGCACCCGCAGATTTCCAATGGATGTGTACGTTTTGCCACAGTATGGACAATGGAGTAAGTCCATATAGAAGCTGGCCCTGCCTGGAAAGAGACGGAAACCTTAATGTAGAGGTTGTGAAGGAGCAGGAAGATGGGGAAGGAGAGGGTGCTGGAGGTGTCTATGATTGCGATGCATGTGTACACGCAGTCCATTTACACTCTTAGAGAGCTTGTTGCATAGGTGGCAGATATAGGGCCCGTCCGTACCGTGCACATCACGTATATGTACACGCACATTGGATACACATGAGAACACTTTGCCACACTGCGGACATTGTGGGATCACTGACTGAAGTTGCTCACTGACAATTGATGATGGTGGAGGCCGGCCTGCAAAACGAGAAGACACTGCTGAAGGGACCTGTGTTTCAGACACACAACTTCACAGTCTAAAGCCTGCAATCTTCTGTCTCAGCACTACTGCACATATATCACGACTAGAAGCAACAATTATACAGTGCTCTGCTACATTCAGCTATCACAAGCTATCACTACTATTCCACCCCATGTCCACAGACTACAAAAATCACTGGTTATCACAACGCCTGTGATTCCTGTGAATGTGCACCCTCAATGCATTCTTATTTTTGGCCGGCTTGTTGCAAATGGGGCACCAGACAGGGCCACTTGCTGTGTGTATGTCCCTGATGTGGATGCGCAGGCTACCTGCGCAGGAGAATAGTTTCCAACAGTGAGGACATGGCAGGCCCGAGGATACAACACGGCCTGGAAAGAGACCAAAGGCCTTCTTAGTCTTGTAGATGGTTGATGCTGATTTAGTTACGATGGTGTCTCTGGATGTGCATTCTTAATCCTGACTGACTCTTTGAGGGTTTGTTGCAGTGGGGGCACCAATACGGGCCACTATTGTCATGGATGTCTCTGATGTGCGTGCGCAGGCTGCTAATGCACGAGAAGGTTTTCTTACAGAAGCTACACACAACGAACCCAATGTTTAGCCTTCCTGTAACAGAGAAGACAAGGGGCTCTTAATGACTGTTGGAGGTGGTTGGAGTGTGATGGTAAATGGTAGCTGCTGCTGTGGGGGTGCTAGCATGATTGTTACCCTTCACCTTTATGCCTGGGTGTTGCCTATAGGTGTGCGTCAACATCGAATTCTTGGTGCGAAACACTTTTGCGCACACAATGCACCTGAACTGGTAGTATATTCCAGAGTGCATGTCGGCTATGTGTTTTCGCAGGTTACTACGGTGCCTGATTACTTTACCACAATATGGGCAATATTGGCTTGAATCGTCTGAGGCCAGGCTGGGCCCTGCAAGAGTGAAAACATCCCACTTAGAATTTTAAAAGAAGCCAGCTTTTTTTTTTTAAGACACAGCAACCATAGTATGGAAAGTTTACTTTGAATGAAACACAAAATGGCTTCATCCATTTAATTGACAAATTTTACAGGACTGTAACATAACACTTATACAGTACAAAGGGAATTATTGCGTGTATAACTACATTACAGGATGAATATCCGTAAATGTCATTTCTGACTAGGAAATTAGATTGCAAATTGTCAAGATATAAAGCACCATTGGGAGATTAAGTACTCCATTTGAGAACTTCACGAAGAGTTTACGTGGGTACTGGTTCTTCCATAGCTCAATATGCTATTCACATTTGCACCGTTAAGTGTCCAATAAATAGATAGCATTAGCAACGCTGGAGATATGCAGTTTCATTTAAAGAACTGTCATATTGCGAACACTGTCTTTCACTCTTTCCATTCTTCCTCCCCTTTAAAACTAATAATGATAAAAACAAAATCACTGTCTCTTTATGACTTCTTTTTCTTGATCATGTCACAGACTTTGATGGCCGGATGTGTCTCTAGGAGGTGTTTGGAGAATGAGCGGCGGCAAAACGTGCTAAAGTCACACACTGTACAACTGTAAGGCCGATTGAAGCGCACTTTGATCCCTCCTGAAACGGTAGGAAAAACCGGCAATCAGAGTCTGACCTCCAACAACATGGCCGTAGCACAATTATGTGTAATAATGTCATTGAGTTCCCCTCACCAGTCTGTGGTACTTGTGTTAGCTTTAATCGCAAGAAGCTTCAAGAAGGCTAAATAAAGCCTGGTTTCATTTTGAGTACTGTATTATGAAAAAATTTAGCTTTCCTTCACTATTTTCTGGACACACGATTCCTGCAGGAGGCACATAAGAGACTCAGGCTGAAAAGCCTTTGTCCATTTTATACTTTGCATGTCAGGGTTTTGCTTTTGCAATGAAAGTTTCGGGATTGGTGTTACTTGTGTCACAGTTCACTCTACACAGGTGCAACTGCCATTCACCTACCTGCACATTAAAACAGCAAGGGTTGTATTTTAGTATCAGCTACATCTTAGGTGCCTTCATAGTCAAACTAATTTATGGAGTTAAATTCTCAACATATAACTTGTCTTGATATCTATAACTAATTGTCCTTAATATGGAAACAAAATAACTAATAACTCACTGTTTTAAGGCAGTTGCTAAAAGAAGCATTACCCCAAGTCTGAGATATTACTTCTCTTCTTAATTATATTGTTAATAATTAAATAGATACTACGGACCAAACACCATGACGGCATACTGTACTGTTCATTTTGGCTTGTGCATTAAAAGTTAATGCTAAGAAAGTTAAATGAGGCCCTGGTGTTTGGTAATGGCCCAACCTGAAGATATGCAACAAAACAAAGACCACAAGGTTCCCAAGAGAAGAAAGAACTACAATAAGTCAATACAACCCTAATCCACAGTAGTACTTGAAAAGGACAAATTGCTAGCCCCAATAATTTCTTTTAAAAACAAATAAGGTCAAGAAGAACAATGACCAACAAAATACTACATCCTAAACTATGCAAGACAAAAAAAAAAAAAAAAAAAAAAAAAAAAAAAAAAAAAAACATGATTGGGCCATTATAGACTACATGAATAAACAATACAATAAGAACTGAATATTCAAAAATAAATATTCAATTCATATTTACTAAATATTCAAGCACTCAAGAAAAGTTAAGGGGCAAAATACTGTACATGTTTAGCATTACTGCTGTTGTATAATTTGCATTATAACAATATGTTCTTTAGAAATGCAAGTGTTGATAGCATTCAGATTGTACATATTATGCCCATTTACTCTTATTAATATAATTATAATAACGAATGACTGAAAACCATTAATGACACATTCCTATTGTACTTATAATTTGGTAAAAATAGTTATTTTATTTTGTAATTTGGTTTTCAGTCTTTCATCTAAAGCTTCACAGTCTTTCAATTTAATGACAAATACTAAACATTAAAAAACGAAAACAAAACAAATAAGAGTCTAAATTAAACATTAACAAATATTTTAAAAATCGTATTCAACATTACAAAACACAACATGACTGAAGACAAACTGACTTAAATAATAATTATAGCAAATGGCCAAGACTGTGAAACTCCATAAAGAGGCTTTACAGTAGCATCTGGTACATACCTTGGCTGGCATCTTGACTAGCAGCACCTTGTGACATGGAAGGGCCCGGCAGAGCCGAGATCCCAGGAGGAAGGCCTAAGGAAGACACCACAACCACCCATTAAAAAGGTAAAAAAAAAAAAAAAAATACAAAAAAAAAAAATATCCCTTTATCCACTAATACCAAAAATTATACACAAAAGTTTCATTATATAAAATTACTTAACAAAGCCTTTAATAATTCACTAGTAAACAATCAAACTACCACATCGTCTTATGATTTCCACAGGAAGAAAAAGGCGCAGTAATCTTAGCAAGAAACATTAACAGTGAACGAAGCTTTAACAACAGCAATCAAAAATATTTTTTTATCTATCTTGAGGAAACTGTAGGGAAGTAACTAGACAAGATGGAGCAGATGGAGCAGCAAGTGTGTGTGTGTGTGTGTGTGTGTGTGTGTGTGTGTGTGTGTGTGTGTGTGTGTGTGTGTGTGTGTGTGTGTATGTGTGTGTGTGTGTTAGTTACCATTTTGTCCTAGGCACATGTCGATTAGACACTAGGCCTGTAGTATATGCATGCATGCATGTGTGTGTGAGTGTGTGTGTGTTGTGTGTTTTGTGTGTGTGTGGGTGTGTGTGTGTGTGTGTGTGTGTGTGTGTGGGGTGGCTGTGTGTGTGTGTGGCTGTGTGTGTGTGTGTGGCTGTGTGTATGTGTGTGGCTGTGTGTGTGTGTGTGGCTGTGTGTGTGTGTGGCTGTGTGTGGTGTGTGATGGTGTGTGTGGTGTTTGAATGTGTGTGTGGTGTGTGATGGTGTGTGTGGTGTGTGAATGTGTGTGGTGTGTGAATGTGTGTGTGTGTGAATGTGTGTGTGTGTGAATGTGTGTGGTGTGTGAATGTGTGTGTGTGAATGTGTGTGGTGTGTGAATGTGGTGTTGTGTGTGTGTGTGTGTGTGTGTGTGTGTGTGTGTGTGTGTGTGTGTACCTAATTGTACTCACCTAATTGTGGTTTGCTAGAACTGTGTTCTCAGCTTGCCTCGTTAGGTATTCCTGGATCATAATTGGTTCAGCCTGAATACCACAAGGTTATGATTGGTTAAACCATACCACGGGCGGGATTGAACCCGCGGACAGAGAGTTATGATTGGTTACTGTCTCTCAGAGGTGAGGAGCTTGTTAGTGTCAGTGTGTGTTGTTCCTGCTTGTTGTGTGTGTCTGGTGTCCCGTCCCTACTGCCCTTCCTACTGCTGTCTCCTACGCTGTTTCTCGCTCCTGAAGCTCTCCTAGAAGTTCTTGACTCCTCTTACATCCTTGACGTCTTGCAGATTTAAGGAAGCTGAGGTATACAAAGGTTATAGTTAATCTGACTGTTAACCTGACTCACTAATATAGCTCTCCCTTATATTAGTCTTTAAAGACTAATATAAGGGAGAGCTATATTAGTGAGTCAGGTTAACAATCAGATTAACTATAACCTTTGTATACCTCAGCTTCCTTAAATCTGCAAGACGTCAAGGATGTAAGAGTCAAGAACTTCTAGAACTTCAGGAGCGAGAAACAGCATAGGAGACAGCAGTAGGAAGGGCAGTAGGGACACCAGACACACACAACAAGCAGGAACAACACACACTGACACTAACAAGCTCCTCACCTCTGAGAGACAGTAACCAATCATAACTCTCTGTCCGCGGGTTCAATCCCGCCCGTGGTATGGTTTAACCAATCATAACCTTGTGGTATTCAGGCTGAACCAATTATAATCCAGGAATACCTAACGAGGCAAGCTGAGAACACAGTTCTAGCAAACCACAATTAGGCGAGTACAATTAGGTACACACACACACACAACAGGTCTAGTGTCTAATCGACATGTGCCTAGGACAAAATGGTAACTAACACACACACAACCACACCTATACACATACACACCTATACACATACACACACACACACCTACACACACCTCGTAAGACATATATACGGCCGCGACAGTCAAAGGGTTAACCCTTTGACTGTCGCGGCCGTATATATACGTCTTACGAGGGTGGTTGTGTGTGTGTGTGTGTGTGTGTGTGTGTGTGTGTGTGGTGTTGTGGGTGTGTGGTGTGTGGTGTGTGTAGGTGTGTGTGTGTATGGTGTTTGTGTGTGTGTGTGTAGGTGTGTGTGTGTGTAGGTGTGTGTGTGTGTGTAGGTGTGTGTGTGTGTAGGTGTGTGTGTGTGTAGGTGTGTGTGTGTGTAGGGTGTTGGTGTGTGGTGTGTGTGTAGGTGTGTGTGTGTGTAGGTGTTGTGTGTGTGTGTAGGTGTGTTTTGGGTGTGTGTGTGTGTGGTGTGTGTAGGTGTGTGTGTGTGTGTGGTAGTGTGTGTGTGTAGGTGTGTGTGTGTGTGTGTGTGTGTGTGTGTGGTGTGTGTGTGTGTGGTGTGTGTAGGTGTGGTGTGTGTGTGTGTGTGTGTAGGTGTTGTTGTGTGTGTGTGTGTGTAGGTGTGTGTGTGTGTGTGTGTGTGTGTAGGTGTGTGTGTGTGGGTGTGTGTGTGTGTGTGTGTGTGTAGGTGTGTGTGTGTGTAGGTGTGTGTGTGTAGGTGGTGTGTGTGTAGGTGTGTGTGTGTTAGTGTGTGTGTGTGGTGGTGGTGTGTGTGTGTGTGTGGTGTGTGTAGGTAGTGTGTGTGTGTGTGTAAGGTGTGTGTGTAGTGTGTGTGTGTAGGTGTGTGTGTGTAGTGTGTGTAGTGTAGTGTAGGTGTGGTGTGTAGTAGGTGTTGTGTGTAGTGTGTGTAGTGTGTGTGTTGTGTGTGTGGGTTGTGTGTTGTGTGTGTGTGTGTAGTTCTGTGTAGTAGTGTGGTTAGGTAAGTGTGTGTGTGTGTGAGGTGGTGGTGTGTGTGTGTGTAGTGTGTTGTTATAGTCTAGTGAAGTGTGTGTGCGGTGGTGTGAAGTCTGTGTTTGTGTGTTAGTGTGTAGTTGTAACTCCCTGACTTTGTTATAAAGTAATGTGTGTTTGTACGGTAATATGCTGTTTTCTGTGAGCGTAAGACTCTTGTTGCTCAATTGTGCTTGTTCATACTCCCTATTGTAAACGTAATGTGGTTGCAGGTCGAGACTCAGCTTGCCGCATTTACTGAAGTACACTCATACATCCTGCTATCATGAGCTTTATCATACCTCGTCCTTAACTGAAATTGGTTCCAGCCTCGCACTACATACTTGACCAGTTAACTTGTATCAATTCCTAACACTGAATGAAAACTTCACCAAATCCCTGACATACTGAATCTTACTTCCTAATCTGACCTTTGTTCATGTTCCTATACCTGAATTTTCACGCCCCCGCGGCCCAGTCTGTGACCAGGCTTCATACTTGTATAATGTAAGTTTTAACGTTTACAAGACACTCTCTGCAATGAAAGCTTTGTTTCACTCGAAAATACATGACATAGCTTTATACGTTTACTCTGGAGATAATTCTGAACATGCATATTTAGAAATTCTTTGCTTCTATCTGTAAATAATCTCGATATATTCTTCGCCTTTTCATTCTCCAATATTTTTTGTAAAGCAAGTAAAGTGCTTGGTTTGTCCTTCTTTTTCATGAGTATTGCTTGTAAATATTTTGAAGAAAACAAATTGATACACACAAGAATGTATTTATAACCATCATTATACTGTATCTGGATAATTTAGACATATCCCCCAAATGATAACTTAATATAACCCTGGGTTTGGATGCAGTTATTTTCCTACGAGGAAACGCTTTAGGCTTAAGCGCATGTAAAGTATATGATCTTTCCGAATTTAAGAAATTTCTAACCTCTCTCAAGGTTATGGTAGGGTCAATCTTATTTACAGATGCATACAAGTTGTTTATTCCAGGGAATGATCCCACAGAGTGAACATCTTTATAAACCTTTTCAATTAATCTTCATTGCTCCATTGATAAACAATTTCGCGTCTCTGTCCACCTTATCTATTCCTCAGAGTATTTCCTATGTCGTTATCATGTCTCCCCTAACCCTCCTGTCCTTCATTGCCCATTTCCCTTAACCTTTCTTCGCAGGACATTCCTCTTAGCTCTGGAACTAGCCTTATTGCAAACCTTTGCACTTTCTCTAATTTCTTGACGTGTTTGACCAAGTGTGGGTTCCAAACTGGTGCTGCATACACCAGTATGGGCCTGACGTACACGGTGTACAGAGTCTTGAACGATTCCTTGCTGAGGTATTCAAACGCTGCAGCAGTTATCTGGTTGATGCGTGCTTTCGGAGACGTGCTCGGTATTATACTCACCCCAAGATCTTTATCCTTGAGTTAGGTTTGCAGTCTTTGGTCCCCGAGCCTATACTCTGTCTGCGGTCTTCTTTGCCCTTCCCTGATCTTCATGACTTTGCATTTGGCAGGGTTAATTCGAGAAGCCAGTTGCTGGACCATGCGTCCAGCCTGTCCAGGTCTCTTGGTAGTCCTGCCTGATCCTCATCTGATTTAATTCTCTTCATTAACTTCACATTATCTGCGAACACGGGCAATTCTGAGTCTAGCCCTTCCAACAGGACTGATCCCTGCTGGACCCCGCTCGTCAAAGGCGCCCACTATGATGCCTCATCCCTTACCAAGACTGGTTGTTGCCTCCCTGTCAGGTATTCTCTGATCCACTGCAGTGCCCTTCCTGTTATACGTGCATGATCCTCTAGTTTCTGCACTAATCTCTCGTGATACTCTTGGGTATCAACATGTCGGTTCTCTGAACCATTCACCATACTCGAGGGCTGCTTCTGGGGGTCAATGCCTCCACACCAGTCCAAGACCAAGCCTCTCGATGAATCATGAACAACCGAGCTCTTATTACAGGTAACAAAAAATTGAATTGAGGAACTTGTCCAGTTCCCTCTTGAGTCAAGTCAAATTCTGCCACGGTGAAAACCTCTGTTCCCAAGACACAGTACTTCCCCCTATTCATTTTCTACGCCCTCATATCCAACACAGACAGGAACATAATCATAACGCCAAATCATCCTTGATAAACAATATCTCGTGATGTGGTGGCGGTCAAGTTAGAGTAAAGCAGGATATACAAACTCGCGCAGACACGGGTAAGAGCAAGCCAAGTACGGCTGGGG